CAGAACTCCAGGAAGGGATGCCTCTGTCTAATGTGCTTGCTCTTTCTCTGAGAGCAAGGCTCGACAGGCAGGCTGGGCAAAGCTTAGAAGTTGATGGCAGTACGATGAGAGTACAGTCACTCAGCCCAAGGAAATGAGGTATTGGTAAGAAACTAGGGCCAGCTTACAGCATTGCGTGAGGGAAGGAGAATGCCAATCTTTCATTCATAGTCAGTTTAAACAGACTTCTATGAAGTTCTCATTACACATTCCGTTTTATATGGCCTAGACCCTCTTATTTTCATACAACCCCCTTCAACCTTGTATGTGTACTGTTGTGGTTCTTCTGGCTGAATCTTGTGTGTTGATAAATTAAGACATGTTTGCATTAGTTACTTAACAGAGTCTGTGCAGACTCACTCCGATAGAAGACAGGCAGGGCTCTTGCCGTTCTCTTTGGAACAGAGTGGGTTTTACTGTTTTTCCAGAAGCAAAGCTGCTAACCCAAGTAAGAGAAGAATTTATTTCAAGTAGTTCAGGTTTGGCGTAGCTTAAAGGTAATTATGTATTTGGTTGTGCAAGTTAGTAAAGTCTGTCATTCTTCAGGAGAGGAAATGAAAGATAGAGCCAGCTGCTTTAGGCAGAACTGCTTCTCCATCCGCAGAACTAAAGCAAAGATTTCTCTGTTAGCAAGTCTGAAGTAAAAGATAACATTGTCTGGTCTTAGTTTCCTGCTCTAGATCCCCACAATCTGCTTACTAATGTGTCAGCACTCTATCACTGAGCTCCATCTGAGACCACAGTCTTAATTTTTCAGGTTTTTATGTAGCTTTTCCCTTGTAAGGGGGTGGTATTCGGAGCCTCCTAAAAATCCACAGGAAACTTGCCCAGACTCACAAGGCCTCTCTCCAAGTTTATATCAAAGAGTGAACAGAGGCTGGGGTAAAGGAGAATTGCTTTAACGGTGTTGGGACATTGCTGCCTACAGTTGTGTGGGGAATTCGAGCGCTGGGGCATTCCCAAGTTATTTGCTTTTGCTGTGCAGGTGTGGTGGGCCTTTGGTGGTGCAACTGTCTAGATCATCCATGTCTCTGTGTAACCTCAATTTGTTCGTGGTTCATCAAGCTTGGCTCAAATAGCATCTCCTCTTTAGTCCGTCATGAATATCCCCGTCTGGGGTATATAGTTTCCTGAGACCACAAAAGAAGTCATGCAACATATTCACCCAGCTATGCAATTCCGCGAAACTATCTGGCTTCTCTTCAGCAAATTCTGTAACAAAAGAGGAAATACCCACTCCTATATACTAGTTTACCAATACCATAGTCCCCATCCCAAGATCTTCCCAGACACCTGAATCTGTACATCATCCTGCACTCTGTGTTTTATACACTGATAATTGAGACTGCTATCAAGCAGCTAGTGAGCAGGTTGCCACTCCAGTGTGGATACACTGGATAGAGGGACGCTCGTGGGTCAAGAGGGATAGATTACGGGAACAAACAATCTCGTCAGGCTTTGTCAGTAAAACATTGTTCATTCCAAAACTACTCATGCAAAGTGAAGTTAGAGGTTCTGATAAGCAACAGTTGACTAAGAGGCTGAAGTATGGTAAAGGAAAATCTCAGGTGAGTCAGCTACTTAGAACCAATAGAACGAGGGAGAACTTACTAGAAACTATTTTGCTCCACGGGTTTTTAAGTGATACATTTTTAAATTACGGACTCCGTATCAAATAATTTTTTCTGTCTAGCTTTGGTTTTAAATGATTGCCTCGTATGAAGGGAACAGTTAAAATGTATGTTATTAGATTCCTCCAAAATAGATTTCCCTGTTAGGGTTTATGTCATCACACCCACTGAAAATCAGAGTGTCTGAATGGCCTCTGAGAGAATGAGGGAATCTTCTCAATGCCTGTAGCAACCAACTCTAGAGGCTCCACCTCCAAATACCCAGGCTGTCCTAAGATTTGGAAGATAAGTTCAGCTGTGAAGCTTTGATTTGCATCACAGTAGATTTCTGGGCTATGTGCATATTTAATATATATATATAGGTTCACACAGGAATGCATATATAGTTATGTACAGTATGGAAGTTGCTTGATTGCACTTCCTGCTTGCTCAAGTAATATTTCCCTTCTCGGATCTTCGATGGGGTTGAAGACTAGATAGTTATAGTTACTTTCCTCTCATGACTTGGCCAAGTTATTTATTATACAAGACTTACACTAGTTAGGATAGGATAATTATTAAATATATTTACTCTTATTGTATATAATTTTGTATTAGGCTTTGAACTCTCTTATTTAAACAAAAGGGAAATGCTGTAGGAAATCCTACAGGCAGTAGTTACCCCCCCACACACTGGGGCATGGCCTCTTGTACTATTTATGTCGATGTAGAACATGTGCCCGGCCTCTTTTCTGGCTGCAGAATTCGGTTTCTGATCTCCGTTCCAACAGAGGATTGTGATTTGTGAGTCTAGCCCTAAATAAATAACCATCTATTTCTCAGTTCTGAGCTAGTGTGGGATTTCTTTTAAGCATCCTTCTTCAATCTCCAGTTTAAGCAAATGACACAGATGACATTTGTCGTGGGTGGTTGGTTCAACAAGATGGGCACAGTACTCCCAGATCTTGTTCTTGTCACCTTTGAGGCAGGTATATAATACTTCTGTATCCCGGTTTTGCTCCCTAAAAGGTAGCAGCAGATGACATGCATACACATGGAAATCTCATCCTTATCAACTCAAGCAGTCTGTTACTAATAGAGGTGTGGCTTATTCCTGCCACACATCTGTGTAAAAGCTGCCTTGTCTTTCCTCCCTTACCTAACATCCCCTCCTTTTTAACTCATTTTTAATCTTAAGATTTATTTGTATTGTTTTTATTCACTTTGTAATTATATAGTAACAATTCTAAAGAAAAATTAACATTTTGATCCCAAGAAATTATTTAAAATTATAATTTAATACATTTTGTGATCTTATGTACTTATAAGAGATATTTTATTGTGGTGTATTTATAATGGAAGTCACATCTTACAAAATACAAATCATATCCAGGTTAAAATCTGTATGGAGTGAAAATAAAAGTGACTCAGTGGTTGACTTTCAGTGTTTGAGAGTTTTGTAAATAAAGGGTGTTAGGCACTGAACTGGCTACATAGAAATCAGTAAGATAAAGAATGCTAGTCCACACGTACACCAGAAATAATGTCCTTTAGGTCTCCTACTCTCTGACATGGCATCAGATGTCACCTTAAAACTGTAGAAAAAAAGGGGGCTGGAGAGACGGCTCAGTGGTTAAGAGCATTGCCTGCTCTTCCAAAGGTCTTGAGTTCAATTCCCAGCAACCATATGGTGGCTCACAACCATCTGTAATGAGATCTGGTGCCCTCTCTGGCCTGCAGGCACACATGTAGGCAGATATTGAATGCATAATAAATGAATAAATATTAAAAAAAACTGTAGAAAAAATTTAAAAAATTGTGGGAGATGCAGCAAAAAAAACTTGAAATTCAGTTTTTAAAAATCCTGGCACTTAGTTTTCATAATAAGCAGTTCTAAACACTCACTGAGTAGGCATTCCTACTCGGGTTGGTGGGCACAGCACAGCAGGGTAGAAAGGCCTGCAGGCAGACCATGAAAACAACTTAGTCTCAGCAGAGTTGTTTTGTAGCCCAGGGCCTTCAGCCATTTCCTCTATGTGAAATTTCCTCTAAGCGAAGTGGTGGGCCATTTCGCTTGGTGGACAGGGTGTCTCTCACTCCTTTCTCTGCTTTCTTTGTTGGTTTGTAAGACTGTTTTTAATACACTTTGGATACAGGTTACTTATGAGTTCTATGTATTGCAAATATTGACTGTCCTCTATAGCTTACAATTTTTACTTACTATAAACAGGGTAGGGTCAAGTGTAGAGAAGCAAATATATGTAATTTATGTTTATTTTGTGTGAATGGTAGGAATATATTTGAGATAATACTAGATGTGTAATCAAGTTGTGTTTTATTAAATTATTTTTGTCCTAATATACATGTTGAAATGGTTACGATTTTAGTATGTGATGATTTTTTTTCATCTTATGCACACACACCCTATTTCTGTCTATAGGAGCTCATGGAACCCATGTAGCAAGTATCGCCGCTGGGCATTTTCCAGAGGAGCCTGAACGGAATGGAGTTGCTCCTGGTGCTCAAATTCTGTCCATTAAGATTGGTGATACAAGGCTAAGTACCATGGAAACAGGCACAGACCTCATCAGAGCTGTGAGTGTCTGGGAGTTCTTGATGTATTGTAGAAGGATCAGTAGGTTGCTTTTCATCCTGCCTGGCTCCTGGCCACCTGGCTAGCTTTACCCAAAATAATTACATGGAAACTGTATTCATTTAAACACTGCCTGGCCCATTGTCTCTAGCCCCTTATTGGCTAACCTTCACATAGTGATTCAACCCATTTCTAATAATCTGTATAGCATCATGAGCTCGTGGCCTACCGGGAAAGATTCAGCATGTCTGATCTGGCAGCTTGATCCATTGGCTTTGGCTCTGTGCCTCATTGCCTTCTTCCCAGCATTCTGTTCTGTTTACTCCACCCACCTATATTCTGACCCCCACCTATGTTCTGACCTATCAAGCTAAGGCAGTTTCTTTATTAATCAATGAAAGTAACACATAGACAGATGATCCTCCTACATCAATGTAGATTAATCATTTAGGGACTTACAAACCTTAATAATATTCATAAAGCATTCTTGATTTATCAAGAGTATATTAAACAGAATTTTGGTATACAGCACATTGGGTTTTTTTTTTTTTTAGAAGCAAACCAATGCTGATTAATTCAATTTAAAGTTAAAAATTACAAGGAAAAAGTTTCTTGGCTTAAAGTGAGATTGTAGAGGATGCACACATTTCTGGGATTGGGATCAGGAGGGGCTGAGTGAGGATGCATTCTCTCTGAGATCAATGGGCTCTCTATGTATTTATGTGACTAACGTTCACTCCCTCTACAGTTACGCTGCCTTGGTGTAGAAATAGCTTCCAGAGATCCATCTGCTCATTGTGAACGCCTCCCTGTGGTGACGCCAGCAACACAGCCAGAACCTGTGTCACAATGTGCAAGCCCCCTATGGTGCCTGGAACTGGGGGAACTTAAGTGATGGAGAAGAAACACGGGAGAAAGCTGCAGCATGGGAAGTGGGCTGCGGAAGACGTTTTCACCCGTCAAACTTTGTGTACGCCGCAAGCTGAGAAATACAGGAGGGTATAGTGTTCTCATAAGACTGCACTCGGAAGAACATGTATGTATTCACTGTAACTAATGGCATAGATGTTTCCCAATTGCTTTGGGTATCTCAGACAGAAACTTTTGTGAATCCTGAGTTAAGTCAAAATTGTTTCCTATAAACACACATTCCTCACTGTCACTTTCTTCAGAAGCTGGACTTTCCGCCAGGTCAGAAGCTGGACGTTCCTCCAGGTCAGAAGCTGGACATTCCTCCAGGTCACTTGAAGTCTGAGTATTTAGGGGAACATCATTGGTCCAGTCATCAGAAATCCAAGATGAATGTGAACTGACTAAATCAGTAGTGTTTTGTTGAGTTCTGGAAACAGAATGCCTATGTGAATTGGTTTTTTGAAACCATATGTGACGTTATCATTCTATACGCTTTGGATGTTCTTCTGTACTTCCTTTCCTCTGTTTGATTCTCTATCAGGAAATGAAGCATCTTTCTGTGTAGATTCCGATGAGAATCCTGAAAGTCCCTCAGGCTTTTTAACGTTCAGGTCAGATCTCTGCTCAATGAGTCCTCAGTAGACTCTTTTCTCTCTCCGTTTGTTTCAAATAATAAACAAGCAAGGAGCTGCCCATTCATCAGTATTGACCATGAGCGAGTTTTCAATAGTGCCCAACCTTACTCTCTCAGTAGAACTTGGATATAAAGCACATGCCATGCTCTGTCAGAAAAAAAGAAAACCCCCCGGGGGGGGGGAATCACTGGCATCATTGAGCGCCTGTGTCCAGTGGTGCACTGCTTGCTCTAGGACTAAGTAAATTGTAATTATCTTTGAAATTGATGGCTTCTTTTTCTTTAGAGTTGAAAATCTCTTAAGTCTCTGCTCTGTGCTGTTAATAAGAGTACTGTATCACTGTATCATTTAGATCTTTGGGCAAGTTTATACCTATTAGTTGAGGAAATAGTTTTCTCAATATTCAAGTCAAAACTGCATTCCCTAGGGGCTGGAGAGATGGCTCAGTGGTTAAGAGCACTGACTCCTCTTCCAGAGGACCAGGGTTCAATTCCCAGCACCCACATGGCAGCTCACAACTGTCTGAAGATCCAGTTCCAGGGGATCTGACACCTTCATACCAATGCACATAAAATAAAAAGTTAAAAAAACTATAAGAAATGTTTTTTTAAAAAAACTGCATTCCTTTAATTTTGATATTAATCTAAGTTTAATGATATGTATGATATACATATGTAACCATATGACTAAATGTAATTCATTTGTTTGAAATGAGTAAGCATTAAAACCCTTGAGAAACTTGTTAATTCAAAATTAAAATTTTATTTATTTTTAACGTCAGCCTTTTGTTTCCTTTTTAACGTTCACTGATCTTTCTTCTTCCAATCTACCCCAGAAAGTTTCGTGGATTTATTTAGAAATTGATTCTCCTGCCAAATACAGATGGTGTCAGAAGACTAGAGCATTCTCAGGACCCTAATATACTGACACTGTATTTCATGTATGCATAATCACTTCTATAACAAGTTCTCAATTAGACATCCTTTGATTTTTATATTTTATTTTTATTTTATGGGTATGAGCATCTTGCTCGCATGTATGTCTGTTCATCATGTGTGTGCCTTGGGCTTACGGGTATTTCATCCCCAGGAACTGGAGTTAGAGACAATTCTAAGCTACCCTGTGGTTTCTGGGACTCGAATGTGGGTCCTCTCGAAGGACCGACCGTATTTTACATCACTGAGCCATCTCTTCGTGGTTCGTTCTTTTATTGTTAAAGGAAGAAAAGAACAGGTCTTTGAAATCAAAGAAATATTTAACTGCCACAGATTACATTCTAGAAACTGAACATTTGTCAGCAATGTTCCACAAATCATAAACAGATTTAACTTCAATAAGCATGTAAAGTGTCTTTACCATGTGCTTAAACTCAGTTTTAAAATAATTCCTGGCAAATGTAATGGTCCCTTAAAAATCACTTTGCCTATTGGCAAGGTCTTAAACTTGGAGTGGCAGAATGTTTCTTTTCTTTTTTTTTTTTTTTTTGCCTATACCATATACCATGCATGGCATAGTAATAACAGTTATGTAATGTCATTTGGAAAATTCTGCATTTCACTGGTGTAAAACCCCAACTTGTAGTTGAGGAAACAGGGATCTTGTTGTAGGTCAGTAGCTACTAAGTGGCAGAAGTGGACTCAGAAGACAAAGTTCTTCAACTTCTGCCTAACTGTTTTACAACCTACTTCTTGCCACTTACTCTTCCTCAATCCAGGATGCTTGGATCATCACTGGGATGCCTTTTTAAGCGGAGTCATAACCCGAACATGTTTTTCTGGCACTGCAAAGTGTGCGCATGCCAGTGGTCATGGTTTGCAAAAACCTGCACAGAATCACAAAAGACAGCAATACAGCTTGTGTAGGCCCAGGCCTGAGCCAACAGAGATCCAAGGTTCTGAAATACTTGCTGCAGGTAACCCAGGACAGCAAGGGACCAAATCCCTCACCATGCCAACTAGTACAGGTGTCATCATCATGGCAATGAGCTGCCAAAAAAATTCAGTAGGTGGTACGGGAGAATTGTCTGTATTCTGTCAATCATGTTTTAAATAAGCGCTGATTGGCCAGGCAGGAGGTGTAGGCAGGAAACCCAGACAGGAAGTGGAAATGATGCAAGGAGAACAGGAGAATTCTGGGGAGGAGGAAGTTGATTCCTCCCACTCCTGCCCAGAACACAGAAGCAGCAGGATGTGAGCTGCCCCACTGAAAAAGGTACTGAGCCACATGGCTAAAATAGATCAGAAAAATGGGTTAATCAAGATGTGAGAGTTAGCCAGTAAGAAGCCTGACCTAAAGGGCCAATCAGCTTTATAACTTAAGGAGTCCTTTGTGTGATTTTTCTCTGGGACTAAACAGCTGGGGGTCCGGGCAGGACAAAAACACAAACAAGCAGGCCCGGCTTTCTCATGCTACAAGTAGGCATATGTTTTTGCTGTTAAAATATATCAGGAATTTAGGTGGATCCCAACAAATCTAATGTGGTGCCTCAGATCCTATGTGTCCCCCAGATGTTCTTGTGGCAAAGGGCTGGTCTCTATTATAGGGCTAAGGAGGCAGGGCTTTGGGGAGGACTCCCACCCTGTCTCTCCCATCTGTTGACCATGAGGTGAGTAGTTTTGCACCACCAGCCAGCTCTTCCATCCATTATGTTTTCCTGGTGTCTTTGTCAGTGTTCTGTCACTATGAAAAGACAACGTGACCACAGCAAGTCTTAGACAAGAAAACATGCTATTGAAGCTTGCTTACAGTTTCATAAGTTTACTCCAATATTTTCCATTAAAAAATTTACACTTCCTCCCCTCCTCCCATTCCCCTCTCACTCCCCCACTCACTCCTCCCTCCCCCTCCCTCCTTGAGAGAGGGCTGGGTATCCTGCCCTGTGGGAAGTCCAAGGTCCCTACCCCCACATCCAGGACTAGGAAGCTTTGCATCCAAATAGACTAGGGTCCCAAAAAGCCAGTACAAGCAGTAAAAACAAGTCCTGATGACTTTATCAATGGCTTCCTAGTCAGCCCCAATTGTCAGCCACATTCAGAGAGTTCAGTTTGGTCACATGCTCATTCAGTCCCAGTCCAACTGGATTTGGTGAGCTCCCATTAGAACAGGTACACTGCCTCAGTGGGTGGGCCAACCCCTGCTGTCCTGACTTCCTTGCTCATCTTCTACCTCCTTCTGCTCTTCAACTGGGCCTTGGGAGCTCAGTCCATTGCTCTGATGAAGGTCTCTGTCTCTATCTCCATCCGTAGCCGGATGAAGATTCTAACGGGGATGTTCCCAGCTAGGTCCCTGGGCAGCAGTGCAGAGGGTGCCTGAACTGACCTTGCCTCACTGTCTCACCAATGTTTATCTCGAATAGTTTAGTCCAATATTATCATGGCAGGAATCATGGAGGTACACAGGTAGGCATGGCACAGGGAGCAGTGGAGAGTTCTACATCTGGATTAGCAAGTAGCAGGAAGAGAGAGAGGCTCTGGGCTTGGCACGGGCTTTGAAACCTCAAAGTACACCCCTCCCTCCAATGACACACTTCTTCCAACAAGGGCACACCTCCTAATCCTTTCAAGTAGTGCCACTCCCTGGTGACCAAGTCTTCAAATCCAGAAGAATATGGGGGCCACTCTCATCCAAACCCCTACAACTCGTGACACAAGACAACCGATTGAAACTAGGAACCCAAAGAAAACTTTTCTCTGTGTAGGCTGAACATCTCAGGTGTTGAGTACAGTAATGGAAAAGCTAACAAACGCTATGCCTTGTTCTTCTTAAAGTCCTTTTAGTCAAAGAAAATTGCAAGGTTAAATAAGAACATTAAATGTATTAAAGGCAATCATATGCCAATCCAAAAGTAGATACTCCTTAGCCTGGGCTGCTCTGAGGTTAGTGACATAGCACAGCCATAGCTCAACAGTAGCCCTGGGAATCTAACTTCCATAATCTGCAGTCTAAGCATCTTCTGCATAGCACCTGCTTTTCTGTTCTGTTCTCACTGTCTCACCTATGGCCAGAAAGCACACCATGTGGTGAATGCCTCTAGAAACGGAATGAGACTTCTGTAAGCCACGTGTGAAAATCTGACTTTGTCAACACAGAATATAAATTAAGATTGTTTTTTCATGAAAGATTTGTGTCCTAAAAACAAGTGTCCTCCAAGAAAGCTGTTGTTGCCAGCTTCACAACATCCATAGACTTAAAAAATAATAGTCTGTCTAAAATAGTTTGTATGGTTGATTTTAAAAAGAATAATTCTATGTAATAATATTCACCAAGAAGTATTGAGAAGCTATCCCTACATCTGAGGTTCAGGGAATATCTTGGGAGAGGAGGCAAAAAGTTTCCAACAGTCAAATGACCAGAATATCTATGACAAGATAGAATCCTGCTGTGGAATAGAATGTTTAACTATGTAAAGATGTATTCATTTGCTTACGCTATATTTGTCTAATTAAGTAAAGGTTGCTTTTGTTTATGCTGCATTTGCATAACTATATAAAGATGTGTTGCTGTTTCACTTTACCTGCCTAAGGCACCTGATTGGTCTAAGAAAAGCTGAACAAGCAGTAGCTAGGGATAGGCAGGGCCAGCAGGCAGAGAGAAAAGAGGAGCCCACTGGCCAGGTATTAACGAATCAATCCCACACCAGTTATGTTTTAAGGGGTTATTTATTTTGGGGGGTAAAACTTACATACACCATAAACCGTCAGGAAGGTAGTCGCTGGAGCAGGAGCCGGGAGCAGCAGCTGAGACCGAGCACCGGAACCAAGAGCCGGAACCAAGAGGGCCTTATCCGGAACTGCTTCTCTTTTTAAGAGAGAAATATACCACGCCCCAGTGGGCTGGTATTTCAGCAGCTATTGGCTGACGGAGCGGAAGTCGCTCCCCGCTGCACTGTGGGCTCCTGCTTCAGTGATTATTGGTTGAGGCAGCGGAAGTTACTCCCACAACAGCCAGGGACCAGCCAGCCGGGGGCTGGCCAGACAGACACAGAGGAAACAGAAAAGCAGGATGGACAGTTATGTAGATGAGATAAATGAGACTCAGAGCAGCACATATATTAATAGAAATGGGTTGATTTAAGTTTGAAAAAAAAAAAACAAGCTAGAAACCAGCCTAACCTAAGGCCAAGCATTAACAATTAAAAATAAGTCTCTGTGTCATGATTTGGGGACGGGTGGTCCCTAGAAAGCCTGCTACAGTCTTTTCTAGGCATGACAGGGGTGCCACACTCATGAGATGTCAACAATATGGGTACCTAGACAGGACCTAGGTAATAACAGTCAACATGCGGAAATGGATGGGGGCAGTTTCACAAGGCCCTATCCCTAGATGTAGAGCTGTATGCAAACAATAACTGCTGAGAGAGGGAGGAGCTCCCTGTAGGGTATGCAATCCCAAATGGTCACCCCAAACAGGTGTATAACAGCAACTCGAAATTGGCTCAGTAGCTATGCGCACACATACATATATGCATGCAACAATAATTACAGAAGAGGCCATGAATATGAGAGGGAAGGATATAGGAAGGTTTGAAGGGGTAGGAGAGGGGTGGAAATTATATAAATAAAACACTCACATATGAAATTCTTTTAAAAAAACTAAATAAAAAATTAAAAACTCAGAGAAAAATGAGGTATTATATAGGTGGAACTTTTTCTTTCCTGCCCCATCCCGCAGTCACTGCCAAATAATCACACAGAGGCTTATATTAATTGTAAATACTCGGCCAATAGCTCAGAGTTATTACTAACTAGCTCTTATAACTTGACCCATTTCTATTAATCTGCATGCTGCCCCAAGGCTTATAGCTCTTACCTCTATCACAACAAACAAAATATTTTTTAAAAAAATCTTCCAAAAATGAAACCAGACTGAGAGTACTGCCTCAAGTAGAAGAATTTTCTCTTCATATCAAAGATGGTTCTTCTTAGTAATGAGAACCGGAAAGAAGAAAGGCCATCGAAGGTGTGGCAAATTCACGACAGGCTCATGACGCAAGTGGGAAGCAACACGTTTCTTGTGTCTACTGCTTCATCCTCTGCAGAGAATCTGGATTTGACCTTCACTGTGACTTGTTCCACACAAAGATGAGAGACCAACAGGCTCTACTATCCCAGTCCCGCATCGTTACATTTTCCATAAGTTAATCCATCACTAGTACCAATGGCTTCTGAACAGTAGCGCTCTGGCGATTTGTGACGTGGGACTCAGTAGCCCAGGGTGCAGTCACTTCCAAGTCAACGTTTGTAAATGAATCAGACATGGGGATTCTGTCATGATCCCGCCAGGTATGGCTCCATCACAGCCTTGTCCTAGTCACTCTGTGCATTTCCACCTCCTTGCCTTTCTGCCACGTCTTACCTGTCTTTTGCTAACAGACTTTGAGAAGGTGGATCTTACGTCTTTAGCTCTCACAACTAAGCAAGCACCTCTCACAGAGGAGAAGTTCTGCCGAGTGTGTCACAAAGTGAAATCCAGGCAGGTCTTCGGAGTGGGTGTTTGTCATCCCAACTGCCATGAAGGCTGAAGAAAGAACTGCTTACGACCAGGAGCTAAGGGCCAGCTTGGACAACACAGCAAGAACCTAAATCCTATGCACACACATCTCTGTGGAACACACTTAAGGACTAAGTATTGTAAGATTCTGTCTGTTACATTCACCTGAAGGTTACAAATGAGTTTCTTTTTTGGCATTTAAGTAAAAGGCTCCAGAGACAAGGTTGCCCTGGTCCTAGACTGTAGTCTGTTGGTTTGTGATAAGATTTACTAACTTTTTCTTTTACTCAGACCTTCACAGTCTGCAAGGCAAAGACGCATATGCCACCTTTTCCCAGCCTTGCGTTGTAAAGCCTTTGCTTGCTACCGTTTTAAAGCTTAGATAGGGAGAAGAAAAGTCTGGGATACATCCATTCAAATTTATTAAGTTGACAAGCCAAGGCAACAAAAACAAAATAAGATGCAAGAATTAGTACATGTTACACAGAAGGTTGAGCACAAGGTAGTCTGGGATTTTTATAACACAGCGCAGTTTTATATATATATATATATATATATATATATATATATATATAAATATAAATGTTTACAATTTATTTGACTGACTTCGTGATAACAGAGCGAACCAGTCCTAGGTGTTTCTCTTGGAATGGAAAGTGGGAGCGAAGGTGTGGACTATACAGCCAGAAACGCTTTCATTCTCTGGACCCTGGTGCTATTTTCGCTGGTGTTCTGACTTTTGGTGAAAATATTCTTTCCTTATGAAAGCGAAAGGTTTCTCGGGTGTAAGTCTGGTGACATTTTCCCTAAAATAGGGTGAGGATGTACCCGATCCTTTCTCTCGCGGTGGCAGCAACACTAACCGAAGGCAGGGCTATTTCTTAAAATGCAGCGCAGTGCAATCAGAACTAAATTTGGAATCCTCTTCGTAGCAGCGTGACCCTGTAGAAGTCTTGGTGCTCGCAAACCTTGGAGGAACGCCAGAGGGCAAGCTGGAAGTCTCAGGAGGGCCTCAAGCATTTCTTTACTAATGGGCTCTGGAGCCCCAGGAAGCACAGCCGCCCCGAGAGCCGCGGCGCCGCCCCCTGGCGTCACTTCCCGGTCCGGGCTCCGGCTGCAGTTTCCGACAGGTGGAAGGTGCTGCCCGAACCTGGCCTCTCAGACTTTTAAAAGCAGGTCTAATTGGAGCTCCTCTCCAGCTCCCCGCCGACAGGAGCTGAGGAAATCCAATTCGTCTGCGGTGGCCGTGGGAGTCGTGGTCGCTCACGACTCGGATCTGCCAGTAGTTCGCTGCATGCAGGTCCCTGCAGGTCCGCTTTCCGAGTTGAGGTATTCTCATTTTGTCTCTAACCCCAGTCTTGTTCGCCCCGCACATGCTTTGCATAGTGGAAATGCTAAGGGGTGTTTATATTTAGTGGTGGATTGCTATCTCTGGGGTGGGGGGGGGCGGGGTGGGGAGAAGGATTTAAAAGCTTGGGGTGGGGGCGGGACAAGGGGACAAACTTGTTATTAAAAAGTGGAGATGTGATTCCAAACATTGGATAAAAAAGTGTCTGCAGTTGTTTTGGCTGAGATGCGTTTCTTTTAGAATGAGCTTTATGGGAGGACCTGTTTCCAAACTACAAAATTAAATTTTCAGTGGTGGGCGTATATTTTACTAAGTGGAACCATGTGCTGTACGCTCTGTTTTGGAGAGGAGGCTCAGGAAATGGGGTGGGGGGGTATCTGTTCTATTTGCCATTAATTTTTAAAATTTTAACTTAGTTTTAAGAGGACTATCCACACAACCACTGTACAATAACATTAGCTGTTGTATAAAGTTCAAGTTGAGCATCGTTTACCTAAAATGCCTGAACCAAAAAGTGTTCAAATTTTAATACTTTTTTTTTAAATTTTGGGATTTGTCATGTACATGACATATCTCAGGATGAGACTCAAGACTAAATGTGAAATTCATGTTTTATTTGCATCCTATAAATATAGCCAAGGCAATTTTATGTAATAGTCCTAGTGTTCCTTATATTTCCACTAGCAAGTCAGGTGGGAAGAGTGGTTTAGATTTTAACTTCAGGGGATGCTCAACTTGGAATATTAACGATTTTGTATGTTCCTCACTTTTGTAAGACCTAATTTTATATTCAGTGATTTATAGGACCTTTGTAAGATTTTTGACAGCTTTTCCTAACGCTCTTATAATTTTGTAAGACTGCATACTTAAAAAAAATGAATATTCATTATTTTGTTTAAGTAGATGAATTAATTGCAAATGATAATTCCAAATCATATTTCTGTAATTCTTTTCCAGGAATTATCTGTAGAGTAGTAAGTATGCTAATATTCAGGAAGACAGCAGGAGTTTTTGCCAACCCACCAAAGAGGAACGTGTATGGGTTTCTGAGACGTCTTCGTGTTTGTCCCGGAGCTCTTTCTCCTCCTAAGCTGGTCCTGGGGATCGAAACCAGCTGTGACGACACAGCCGCCGCCGTGGTGGATGAAACCGGACGCGTGTGGGGAGAAGCCATGCATTCCCAGACCGAAGTGCATTTGAAGTAAGTAGCGACGACTTGGGTCACTCCTGGTTTTCTGTATTTTTGTTTTGTTTTTTGAAAAAGAAAAGGGAAACCATCCTTTTGTCTTTATCATGTGTAAAAGTCAAATTTTGATAGTTGAATTCCTATTCTATTGTGTAAAAACCGCTGAGTGCCACCGTATAGAGCCACATACAGGCCTTTAATACCAGCGCGCTTCCGTGGCAGAGGAAGGCGGCTGTGAGTTCCAGGCTAGCCAGTGCAGCTTAGTTGTCTCTAAACAAACAAAAACCCTGCTGTGGCAATGTCTCCTACCTTGTCGTGACTTCTGAGGCCCTCTACGGTCCACAGTGGGTTTCAACAATCCGGTCCTGATAACGAAAAGAAGTTAAGCTCATTCCCAGCATTTACTCTGAAAGATTTCCCTTTCAATGTGCCTTTCTTCCTGCGTGTATGTTTCATGGTTTCAACACCAGTCCCAAGAAATCATGACCTGATGGTTAGGGGGGGAAAAACTTATTCACATTTACACATGTAATTCAAATCAGTAAACGTTGCAGTACTAAAGTTTAGGTTTATAAACCCAGCTGTTTGCAGAGGACCACAGGACTGGTTATAAAATGCAAAATATACCCAGCTCTAGCCCATTGTCACTCAAGAATGTAAGACTTAAGTATCGGAATTTTCAAAAGAAAGTGAAAGTCCACATTTTAAATGTAATCGCTAGATTTTTTTTAAATTATTGGCTAATTCAGAACACATTGAAATACATCTGTAGGTTATGAGTTTCCAACGTTTGAAGAATGAAGTCTGTCTGATACTCTTTAGTATTTATTGTCTCACTAATTTGAGGCAAGTGTTTTATCCTCTCTGATTTCTTTTTCATATCAGTAAACAAACGTAGCAGCTTCCTTAGTGAACTGGGAATAATTTATGGAGAAAGTAAAGCCTCAAACGACACACGATGGTAAAGGACCAAGAAGGTCCTTTTGTCGTGTGGTGCACGCAGACCTACGGAAAGCTGCCAGTGCAGGGCAACACAAAGTTAATATCAGTAATTACCGTGTTGCGGACATCTTGACTTCTTTTATTTTTTTTTTTTAAATGCAGTGAACTTTTGAACGTTGCTTTCGCTGGAAAGCATACTCTGATCTCGTCTTCTAAATTAGGTTCTTTGTATATCACTGTGTGTAACACCCGATACACTCTTGGTACAGTTTGTGCGCCTCTGTACCATAGGCGAGCAGGGCAAGGGCCTGGAGATTGAAAGAGACCTGGGTCATTCGAAAGGAGAGGAGATCAGCCAAATGCCTTTTATTCAACTTTGGGGAAATCCTTAAATAGGTGGCTGCTGCACAAGGAATTCCCCCCAGGCAGGTGGGAAATCACCACACCCAAGATGGAGTAAACAATGCTCTACAGTTAATCACCAGGCAGGACAGAGGGAGCACAGGAACAAACTGAACGTTTTAGCTGGCTGACCAGAAACTGACCTCAGGTAACCCCAGGAGCTGGGGTAGACCCGGGCTCTACAATTATGTCCTGAAATTTTTCTTTCTAATTTTTTTTTTTACAATTTATATATTCGTTTGCCTGTTCGTGATCTTTCCTCCGATCAACCCTAGACTCTAGTAGCGAAGTCTCTGAGTAGCTGTGCTACCCCCGGTGCCCCTGCTAGCACAACGTCTTGGCCCCTCACAGGTCCTCCGCAGAGAGGGAAAGAACATTACCAACCAAGGCAAAAAGACAAGAATGTTCTGTTTTGCCAGAGCATAGGCACTTGTGTGGAATGCCAGGCAACCGTGTTCAGCTCAGCTTAGCAGGAATTGGAAACCTACCATTGTCAGATAGTGCCCGGGACGCCGTGAGTCCTAACATGAAGACGATATGTGATTTTTGCCAGAATCACCCACCATAGCAAATGGATGTGCCATTAGTGTTGGGGTCGGGGTGGGTATTTCCAGGTTCTTGGTGTCTTTTTCAAAGACTTGAAAGGGGATCACACAGATTCACATAAGAATCAAAATGACTGTGCCGCTTGTAAATGGTTGTCAGTGTAACTACTGTCCAGATTGGCAACAGGCCACGTGATTAAGAGGCCCTGATTCTTACTTAGGGCTACTTTCCTGGCGTTCAAAGGGGGGATTGGTTACTCAGGGACAGAATTTGGGTGCTTCTTTATTTTGTTTGGCAGATTAGATCATATACTCATTTTTTTCTGTTGTGTATGTCGGCTTCCATCGGCTGCTTCTTTGATCACCTGTGTGCCCAGTTATTCACATAGGCATAAGACAATAAATAGATTTTTTCTAAAAGGTTAATAGAGGACACAGTTTTGCCCATGCATCCAAACTAGTTAGGCTGGGTCAGCCTTTCTGTTCTTCTTATTCTGGGATGTTGGGGGATATTTGAATAGAAAACCTGTCTACATTTGATTGCTACAGGGCCAGAGAAATGTCTACCAGTGTCCAGAAACAGGAGTACATATAGCCCCATGCAGGCTGGGGATGGAGAGGGGTGCGTATGCCTAGTGGGCGCAGGCAAAGTAACTGACTGCTATGCCTGCCTGCCTCGAGCTAAGTGCAGTTTCACGTATAGTTTAGCACTGTGCGTTGAGGCCGTGCATATTTCCCGCTTCCTTGTCTATAAATCCGGGTGATCGTGATGGCGTTGTCTTCAATATGAATTCCTTTAGAGCACCTGCTGCTGTTTTCGGCAAGTATCAACGGCTCAGTAAAATCTAGCCATAGCGACACTCGCGTTACTATCGAGACAGTGAACAGGTCTAGCCATAGCGACACTTGCGTTACTAGCGTTACTATCGAGACAGTGAACAGGTCTGCGAGATTGCGGGGGTGGGGGGGGCGAGGGGGGTGGGGAAGGGGGGGGGGGGGGGTGGGCGGGGGGGGTCGGGAGGCGTGGTAATAACAGCACTGCTTACAAGCATCCCTCTCTTCCAGACCTTTGCTGCCTCACCGGCTCACAGCCACGTCAGCCGTTCAGGGGTGCTAAACATAACCCTCAAATACGGCTTGGGATAGTTCTCTCCGTTCTCACTAACTTAATGAATTCTCTGTTGTCCCTCGCCTAGACTTCAGATTTCAATGATTTCCTTCTTCATTTGTCATCTGCATTCCCCATACAAGTAAAATGTCTAGAAAATTTTGTCATTAGTTAGTTGAGAATGAGGCCATAGTTTTTCTCATTGTTTATCTTTATCGTTTAGCATAATTTCTAGAAAGTAAAATACCAAGGAAGGCGTGAAACGGATATAAAACAAGGAAACCGTGAGCGGGAGGGACTGGAATTCAAACTCTCTCGAATCCCAGCCCAGGAAGTATTTGCCGCTGGAAAAGAACAGTCAACGACAGGTTGCTCTCTAGGGTCTTCTGACATCACAATCTGCCGCGGTCTCCAAGAGTCGGAAGACCCAGCTAGAGAAGTGGAGAGGCATCGGTGTGGAGACGAGGTCAAAATGAATGTGTCAAAGTCAAAATGAATGTTGGAGGAACATTGGGGTGGCGTGTTAATACAGGCCCCTGCTGATCTGACCTCCACGTGCACCAGGCCCCCCTCATAAATCAATAAAAATGTCATCTAAAAAATGAAAAGTAAATTAAATAGTCGACGTTTTACAAATGAGCCTTGAGTACTCTTGCTGCTGATAGAGAAGAGGAATATCAAATAAGTGTATTTCAGTAAGTTTTTAAAATTTTGTTACAAAATGAACTTATTGATTTATGTACATCCTCACTCCCTGAAGAAATATATATGTGTAAAATATATATTTACATAAATTATATATAGATAATATAATTAAATAGTCATTGAATATTGTGAAGATTTTTATTTCTATGTATAGAAACCCTCTCACGTGGTCTTGCAATGCCAAGTGTTTTAAAATGATGCTTTGAGACAGAAGTGGATTTTACAGACTTGGGGAACTGCTTCCCAGCCTGTAAGCCAGTTAGAAGTTACTGTATGTGTTGCTAGCCCCATTCTGCCCGTCGTTTTTCATCCTGGAGACTGAACGTGAGGCCCCGAGTATCTCAGACAGGTGCTCTCCCCTGGAGCTGCGATCCCACCCCTCCCTGCTAACTCTTACCTCCGTGTTTGGAGTGATCATCCATTGTCCCCTCATAAGCTGGAGCTCTCCACTGCTAACCCCAAGCACTAGATTCCCCGACTTTATTTTAGGATTGCAAACTATCCCCTGTCCTCGTCCGACCTCCAGTGCAGTGTGTTTCAAAATAAACCTTCATAAACCTGTCTTCATATTTCTTACTGGTCATATTTGTCTCTCCCGGCTGTTCCTAGAAAATATGAGTCCTCTTTGATGCCTGGGCCCCTCATGGTTTTTAATGCATTTTAATATAAGTTACTTTAGACAAATAACTCTTGCTTTGGTTTCTAAGATTCTCTCCTTGGAGATTAATTAGAGCTAAATACAGTTCTAGAGCGCCCTTCGTTTGCTCATGACCTCTTTGGAATGCTTTATGAGGTGGTTCTGGTGACCTCACTTCATCAGAAATAAACCATAGCAGTCTTGAACACAGGATGAAAAGTCAGCAACAGTATTGAACTCTTCCTAGTCCTGCATTATAAAGCTCACAGTGTTAGCATAATACTAATCCAGTGGTTCATTTGCAGTGTTAGCATACATACTAACCCAGTGGTCATTTGCATACAGTGTTAGCATACATACTAACCCAGTGGTTCATTTGCACAGTGTTAGCATACATACTAACCCAGCAGTTCATTTGTACAGTGTTAACATACATACTAACCCAGTGAGTGGTTCATTTGCATACAGTGTTAGCATACATACTAACCCAGCGGTTCATTTGCATACAGTGTTAGCATACATACTAACCCAGTGGTCATTTGCATACGGTGTTAGCATACATACTAACCCAGTGGTTCGTTTGCATACAGTGTTAGCATACATACTAACCCAGTGGTTCATTTGTATACAGTGTTAGCATACATATTAACCCAGCAGTTCATTTGCATACAGTGTTAGCATACATATTAACCCAGCAGTTCATTTGCATACAGTGTTAGCATACATACTAACCCAGTGGTTCATTTGCATACAGTGTTAGCATACATACTAACCCAGCAGTTCATTTGCATACAGTGTTAGCATACATACTAACCCAGTGGTTCGTTTGCATATAGTGTTAGCATACATACTGACCCAGCGGTTCATTTGCAAGAATGCCTTCAGATATAACTTGTTTTCCTTCTTTCCTAGTTTTTTTAAAGACTGTCTTCTCTTTCCTTCAGAACAGGCGGAATTGTGCCTCCAGTAGCTCAACAGCTTCACAGAGAAAATATTGAGCGAATAGTAGAAGAAGCCCTTTCTGCCAGCAGAGTCTCGCCACGTGACCTCTCAGCCATCGCAACCACCGTCAAACCAGGACTGGCTCTAAGCCTGGGCGTCGGCTTAGCATTCAGCTTACAGCTCGTGAACCAGTTTAAAAAACCGTTCATTCCCATCCACCATATGGAGGCTCATGCGCTTACCATCAGACTGACCAACAAAGTGGAATTTCCTTTTCTAGTTCTTTTGATTTCTGGAGGTCACTGCCTGTTGGCCTTAGTCCGCGGTGTTGCAGATTTCCTGCTCCTTGGGAAGTCTTTGGACATAGCACCGGGTGACATGCTCGACAAGGTACTGTCTCAGAAGTCACTTCGCTGGCTCTTCAAGTTAAATAACCATGTACAGACTAGTCATCTAGGTAGTTCTGAGCAATGCCCCTTACTGAAAAGGTTTTTTAAAACCACGGCAAAAGGCTGGATGGGTAGCAGGGTAAGCCACAGATTCGATGCCAACTTTGGCTATTTAATGAGTTTGAGGCAATCCTAGGCCGTACGGCAAGGTCTTGTCTCAAAGATCTGGAATGGTGGTGCATAATTTTGATCCTAGCACTTGGGAGGCAGAGGTAGGTGGATCTCTGCAAGTTCAAGGCCAGCCCGATCTACTACTTGATGAGCTCCAGGACAGCCAAGAGTACACAGAGAAGAAAAACAAAACAAAAAAAATTGAAGAGTTGTAATAACTTTTTCTCTTCTTCTTCTAATGAGGGTCCATTCTGTAGCCCATACTGGAGTCTGAACTCACAGTGATCCTCCTGCTTTAAGCCTTCCATGTGCTGGGATTGCAGGTGTGAATCACCACTGTGTCCATCTCAATTCTGTCATTTTCAGCCATTTAATAAAATGGTACTTTTATATCCATATGTAAAAACTCAAATACTTTTGTAGTTATTGCTATATATTTCGTCAAATATTCTTGTAAAAGTGTTTGGGAAACTATAGCCCTGTGGCATGCTGCCAAGATGTCATGATATCCAGGTATTAGAAGCAGAGCATTGTGGTCCATACTTTTAATTCCAGCACTTGGAGGCAGAGGCAGGTGAATCACTGCGAGTTCAAGGTCTGCTTGGTCTACAGAGTGAGTTCCAGGCCAACTGGGGCTATATAGTGAAACCCTATGGGGGAAAAGCAAAGACTAACACGGAATTCGGGATCCACTGTGTAATTGCTAACATCACAGCGGAGTTTCTTTAGAAGTATGGAGCCTACTGCCGTCCACAGAACAGCAGAAATGACAGAGGGAAAGAACAGGCCAGATTCTTACTTTCAAAGTTAATCATTAAATAACCATCCTCATCAATTTTCCAACCCCAGGGAAAGAGAAAAGCTAGGGAGGCAGTGCTTGGATGCTGCCGGTGAGGTTGTTCGAGAAAAGCCTTGTCTGCTTTCCTGAAATTAGCCATAGTCTCTGTAGTCATTCAGGATTTTTAAGTAATCATTGAATTCACTATCTTTATGTCTTATGATTTCAAAATGTGTAGTCTGTGACTCATCTAAGAATATGCTTTTTAATGTCATCTATTACAGGTATTGACTCGCATATTTTGAACCATCCATTGATCCCTGGATAAAGCTAACTTGGTTATAGTGGGTAATCTTTCTTTAATTAATTTATGATCAATGTATATTATCGTTTGTGTTTTAATAGGTGGCAAGAAGACTTTCTTTAATCAGTCGTCCAGAATATTCTACGATGAGTGGTGGGAAGGCTATGGAACATTTGGCCAAAGAAGGAAATAGATTCCATTTTACCCTCAGTCCTCCCATGCAGAATGCTAAGAACTGCAATTTTTCTTTTACGGGACTTCAGCATGTTATCGATAAGCTCATCAAAAGGAAGGAAAAGGAAGAAGGCATCGAGAAGGGGCAAATCCTGTCTTCCGCCGCAGACATTGCCGCCGCGGTGCAGCACGTGACCGCATGCCACCTTGCCACGAGAACGCACCGCGCTCTTCTGTTTTGCAAGCAGAGAGCGTTGTTACTGCCAGCGAACGCAGTATTAGTAAGCTTCGCCCGCTCGCCCGCTAGCAGCGGTTCACTTCCCCGCGTGTCGCTTTGGATTTAGGGCCTTGTGTCGCCTGCTGGACAGTGTAGAACAATATGGAAGAAAAGCGATGTATAGCCATCATGAAGGTAGACGTAACATCTGTGCAGAAAAACAAAATCCCAGGCTACATTTTCTCTTTGAATTTGAAGAGGATTTGCCGTAAAGAAACCAGAGTAGCCCTTGTGGTTCCTATTTTTAGAAACCAAGGCTGCTATCCTCTGTCTTTATTGACATTCCATTACATGTGCTCATACGACTTGATACTCTTCCTATTTAATAGGTCTTAAATCTTTGAAAATGGAACTGTCTAAATTTGGCAGTTCGCAAGAAGGAATATTAAACATGGATATTAGAGATAATGGTTTTGTTAGCGCTCGGTAGCTCAGTGACAAAAACCAAAAGTACAAATGCGGTCTAAAATATTGATGTATTATGTTAGCAAATGTGGCCGAGACACTTTCTGATACTAAATAACTGATAATAAATAAACTGATATTTAAAGTGCTAGCAGTGAATACGTGCTGGCTTAAAGCTGTGATTAGTATCTCCAGATTTTATTATGCAAATACTCATTACTTAGCCCCAGATAGTTTCATGTTGGATAAAGCTGGTTTTCCCCCCAAGTGTAGTAACTGCTCGCTTCCTCTCCGTATGTGATAGCATTTGATACTTGGCTTCCCTATTTCAGGTTGTGTCTGGAGGTGTTGCAAGTAACTTGTATATCCGAAGAGCGCTGGAAATGGTAGCAAATGCAACACAATGCACTTTGCTGTGCCCTCCTCCAAGACTGTGCACTGATAACGGCGTTATGATTGCGTGGTAAGCCACAAGATGTGATTTATTTGTAATCATGTATTTAATCATTTAACGCCTTAGCATACTAAATTTTCTTCCTTTCGACCTTGAGGCTGTTGATTTTTGTTTCGGTGTTATTTTTGTCTTTGTTTTGTTACTGTTTTTCAGGAATGGGATTGAAAGGTTACGTGCCGGCTTGGGGATTTTACATGATGTAGAAGACTTCCGGTATGAACCAAAGTATGTAGACCCTTTATCCTGTTTCCACAAATTACATTATAAAAGAGAAAGAAAGCCTGGAGCATGGTTTTTTACATCGGAAGTTTTTGTTAATGTTCTGCTTGGTAGTTTAAGGGAAATTATTGGTTTTCATTGGTACAGTTGAGAAATAGGTGATATGAAATATTTCTGCTACAGAATGAAATTATAAAAATTTTTCCAAGCCATGTATGAGCCATGGCCTATGTCTATAGGCTCGTGAATGCAGATGGTATACGTGCATGCACTCGGGCACATACATACACATAACATATTTTTAATAACAGGAAGGAAGCCCTCTCTGTGAGCTGTACTTTTGTGATGTGTAGCGTTATCTAAGGGCGGTTAGTGTATTAGCAAACTTAAGGGAACCATGAAGATAACTTGCAGGTATGTTGTAACTTGCTCCTCTAGGAATCGATGGGAGGAAGCCAGGAGGCAGCAGTTCACTGTAAGCCAATGTCCTCTCTCAAACCGTGGTTCCAAGAGCAGCTTTTTAATTTGCTATCACGTTCTGTTCAGGTTAGGGAATAATTTAGGACAATTATGTTTCCTAATCTGACATCATTAGATGTGGACGTTATTTCTTCTGCTACTTTGAACTTCTCGGCTCCAGAGAGTTTTGCTTGTGCAGATTGTTGATGCTGGTTGTGGATGGCCAGCGTTTAGCGGAGTGTCTGAAAGAACCACTTCCGGGGCTGCTTATCAGACCACGATACTGGCTGCTCACTTGTGCCCCCTTGTGGCAGTGTCGAGGCTGGAGCTGATGGCTTTATCCTGCTGGGGTCAGGGCTTACCTTGAGCCGTATCTTCAAAAAGAGGGAATTTGAGGTTTCCCTTGGTTTACTGAGAAAGAATGGATAGGATGGGTGAGCGGGGAAGAGTCTGGAAGAGCAAGGACCGACCAACTGTGGACTCTGAGAAGTAATGGAAACCGCGGGAACAGCAAGCATATGAACAATGTAGGCTTGGCTTATATGTTAAAATGTGCTTTGCATTTTGACCTCTGCAAAAGACTACAGACTATGGCATCTTTTGTTGTGTTTTAGGGTTCATTTTAAGGGTTATTTTTCCATTTGCTTTTTTGTTGTTTGTTTGACAGTTTGTGGAATTCAAGGTTCTGCATGTATTCAAACAGACACTCTGCCATTGAGCCATCGAACTATATGTCCCCAGAACTTCGTTTTGTTTTAAACTTACTAATTTACAGCACTTTGGAGCAGTAGAAGCTGTAAATACACCTCACAGTTCGGGTTTCTTCTGAAGGAGGTACTGCCGTGCACCGTCCTGGTTTGTGTATAGGGATCATCATCACCTATGCCAACTCCCCGTCACTGCCACCATTGTCCAGACTCCAGGCTGATAATGTGCAGACGTTGTGGTAGGTTGTGAAGCAAGTATAACGTAATGTGGCCTCTGCTTTTCATGCAGATGTCCTCTGGGAGTAGACATATCCGAAGAAGTCGCAGAAGCTGCCATAAAAGTCCCACAATTAAAAATGACGATTTGATTTGTGATTTTTAAAGGTCTTTCCAGGTAACGTTTCAAACAATAAGTTTTATCTTTTTGGTATCAAATTATATAAATATATTGATTAGGCGTCAAGACTTTTAGTATGAATGTGTATATGTATGCATGTATGTGTGTGTGTGTGTATAATATATATATTATATAGTCTTGAAGGGGCACATGAGTGTGTATGATAGCAAGGAATTGTTCACAATTCAGGTATTAGACCAGGAATGTTGTCATCCTCCCTTGATACCAGGCTTCTCACTGTCTACAAACTTTAACAGATATTTAAAAAAAAAAAACCTTTGTGAGAAATACAGTGGTTCTTTTGATTCCTGGTCCCATACAGTGGACTAACTTCTTCAATGCAAGCAGTTGTAAAAGCAAACCAGGTTGTCAGACCCCTGAGTTATGACAAAGCTTGACCAAAAGAATGTGGATTACTATTTGAGCAAGTTATTAGGTGTCACGCTTAGAAGAAGGCTATGTGCTTTTCATTTTCTCTAATTGGGCCACATACTTTCACACCCATGATTTTTTAAATTGTGTTTACTAAGATAGAAATAAACGAGATGAGAAAGGCTTGTTTTGGATAATTTTCTCTGAAACTTGGTATTTCAGATAGTGTAAATTTATCAAAAATTTTTTTTTTTTGTCTAAAGTAGCTATATACTGTTTGGGGCTGTAAGCACATTCCCTCTGGGGCTGCAGAGATGGCTCAGTGGTTAAGAATACTTCTTGTTCTTGCAGCTCACAAGTGTCCATAACTCCAGTTCCCGTGGATTCAGCATCCTTTTCTGACCTCCTAGGGCACCAAGCATGCTTGTGGAACACAAACATAAATGCAAGCCAAACACTCATACACATAAAATTTTTAAAAACAATAATAAATCTTAATTTTTTTAAAGGACCAATGTTACTATGTCCATTGATTTGGCCACTAACCAATGTTACTATGTCCATTGATTTTGCCCTCTATACTGGATCAAGTTGTTAATTTTGTGAACTTTCTAATCTTTATTGACATGTATTATTGACAAGGTAAAGATAAAAATTTAGCATAGAAAACCCTTTTTGTCAGGTAACTCACTTTATAACATTCCAACATAAGAATTACAGACATGTACAACCATTCTTAACTAGAATGAAAAAGTAACTTATCTTAGTCCTAATTTAAGGTAGCTTCTCAGAAAGTTCCAGAAGTAATTCTTTTATTTAATTAAGATCACCTGTTTTCTCCTAGAAATGAAGCATCTGGAAATAGCCATTACTTAAAATAGCTTCTTATTCTTTGTTGTTAGATTGCTGTTATAGATAGGATTGGTAAAAAAGTAACAAAAGCAACAACTAGTTCAGAAATTCACATTTGATATTTGGATTTGTGTTTTGTATATGTGATTATGAATTAACAAACTTTCTGTGACGACTACTGTAAGTTCATATAAATTATTGAGGAAAATTTACCAAAATTTATATTATGAATATATTTATAATCTGTGTTTTGAAAATGTTAAAAGTTGTTCCAGGTGTTATAATCACAACTATATATTAAATTACTTCATAATACAAATAAGGAGAAAATATAGCTAACAGAAATTAATGAATCCTGGATAGAGCCATGTCTTTTAATCCTTTGAGTACTTGCTACGAGGAATGGAAAGGAAGGGAGGGAAAGGAGGTTGGAATCAGGGAGTAACACTGAACTCTTCATCAACACATGCCAAATTTACCTTACTGTGAAACTAAGGGTTGGGCAGGTCACTGAGACCAATGTCTCACTCACTAGGACTCACTGTTGCTCGCTCACACTGGTCCTGAACTCTTAGCAAACCTCCTGTATGAACATCCCAAGTCCTTGATTACAGGTATGTTCCAGCATACATGGTAAAGCTCAGTATGTCCGTATATGATTTTTTAAGGGAAAATAATAGAATGATAAAAATTAATCGTGAAGAGTTGAGGGTATCCTCCCCTGTAAGGTTCAAGGAACTGTGCCAGAGAGGAGACAGAAGGACTGTAAGAGCCAGAGGGGATGGACGGCTCCAAGGAAACAGTAGTCTCCAGACACAACAGGACTCATGTACATATGAATTCAAATGTGGCAACATGCACAGAGCCTCCACAGGTTCAAGCCAGATAGGGTCCCAATGCTGAGAGGAAAAGTGTGATGTGGGATTCTCCTTTGTATGCTGTGAGTGTGTTTTGCTGCCATTGGTTAATAATCTGCTTTGGGCCTATAGCAGGGTAGAATAAAGCCAGGCAGCAAATCCAAGCGGAGATATAGAAAGTAGGCAGAGTCAAAGCGACACCATGTAACTGCTGAAGGAGACAGATGCTGGAACTTTACCTAGTAAGCCACAGCCTTGTAATATAAGTGGGTTAACTTAAGATGTAAGAGTTAGTTTATAAAAAGCGTGAGCTAATAGGCCAAGCAGTGTTATAATTAATATAGTTTCTGTATGATTATTTTCAGATCTGGGTGGCGGAAAACGAATGAATGGTTGCCACCTACAGTTGGCGCCCAACATGGGGCACAAACCCACGATCCTGAGTAGGGGAAATGAGTGAGTAGTCTCTCTTTACAGAAGTGGACATGAACTCACATTCCCTAACCAACAAACTGTCTCCAACTGATAATCCACTTGCAAAGGAAAGATGATTTTTCTCCAGTGGAATCTACCTGGCTATGTTAACCACACTTGGAGATAGGCTCTATGCCCATCTATGTAAATGGCCAACACAGAGTGAACTCAGTGGCATTTTTGTAGACTTTTTGTCTCACATTGCTTTGTTTGGGCATTTTTGTTTGTTTTACTGGTCTTTTGCCTTTATAAGGTGGTTCTAATTTCATGTTTGTATGGGGTTTGTGTGTGTGTGTGTGTGTGTGTGTGTGTCTTTTATGTTTTTCTTTTTTAAGTTCTAGTTTATTTGGAGTGTTTGTCATTTGCCTATTTGTTCTCTAAAGAGAAAAAGAAAGGGTGTGGAGGTGTCTGGGCAGGGAAGATCTGAGAGGAGTGTGGAGAACAGAAACCACTAGACTATTTTATTAAAATTTATTTCAACAAAATAATTTTTTTTAAAAGTTGGCAGTGATTCTTCAGGAGAAATACTGTTGTTGGGATAATCTGGTTAAGCTAGTTCCTCAGAAAGTGTCTGTGGTTGTCTACAAAATATCTTTAGCCCACCTGAAGCTACCTCAAGGCTTGGTTGTTCATGATCAGAGGCTGAATAATAACTTCAAGAGTTACCCTTAATAACACTGAGAGAATGAGACTTGTCTTATCATTTGATTCACTTCTTCTCTTTTTTTTGGGGGGGGAGTGTTTTATTTTGTTATTTGTTTCTTTTTCAAGACAGGATTTCTTCGTGTAGCTTTGGCTGACCTGGAACTCACTCTGTCTGGTTTTTGGCTTTTCAAGACAGGTTTTCTCAGTGTAACAACCCTAACTCTCCTAGAACGAGCTCTTGTAGACCAGGCTGGCCTCGAACTCACAGAGATCCGCCTGCCTCTGCCTCTCAAGTGCTGGGATTAAAGGTGTGCGCCACCACCACCCGGCTGATTCACTTCTTTCTAATATTAAACATACATTTCCCTCTACATTTCCTATATTATAATCCATCAGAAAATAGCAGCTCAGAGCAGTTGATAGAGCAGAATTTAAATACTTAAGAACACTTTGTTTTGCAGTGATTAAGCACACAGAGGGGCTCTGGGAAAGCTCCCACCATCATGACCATTACTATGGTAACTATTTGTTGATATTCATGGTCCATGCTTGCTGCAGCTCTGGTAGACAGGGAATTACAGGAAGGCCTTCAGAGTATATGGAGGCCGAGTGAGTAGAGAAAGGGGGAGGAGAAGTGGAAGTACCGAGTGAAGTCTTGTTTGCATTTGTCATACCTGTCTTCTGCTGTAAACTAAAGGATCAACACCAAGGCTTGCACCTATTAATGTGGGACCTTTGAGCAGAGACGTCACAGAGTTCTCAGCCAAAAAAGTGTCCTCTCCAGGTGCGGAGTCTAGGCACTTTCTGTTGATAATGGGACAGCTGCAGTGGCCACACATCTAGTTATGTGCCTGATGGGCAGTGATTCCGATGTCAGGTTGAGTGTTTCCATCTTCTACATTTCAGGTTACATAAAGCTCACACTTTGGTAATGCTTATTGTTTAACAGCTCAAGTGTTGTGATAGTATGAGCAGGCGGACTCTTTAACTCGGCATACCAACCCCAAAATGTTTTTAAGTCTTGAGACATAGAGATATATAGATACACATATGTACACGTATTGAAGAGGCCTAATGACACAGGTGCAGCCATGACAGGCTGCAAATTAACAGTACTGAGACTGGGCCTCACCATTACAATAACCAGGAAAAGTCACAGACAGTACCCTTCGGGAAAACAATCAGAATTGAGGCAAAGAAGGACTAGCTGCTTCAGAACATAGAATAGCTTACCAAACTTGTTATATAGGTTGTCGGTTTCCTTGCAGCAAAGCTGGTACCAATCCCTGCTTGACAAGACTTCTCTTACCTCACTCCTGCCCAATCAGGAGTTCAACCCCCCGTCTGAATCCAGAATTCCCCTAACCGCTCCCCATCCTTTTCTCCTTCAAAACCCTGCCATAGCTGAGCTCAACGCTCTCCCTGACCCAACCACCGTGCCAGAATGGACGGATAGACAGACAGACAGATAAACGGAGATCCCAAACTCAAGCCTGCAGTAAAGGCTCTTTGCTTTTGCATACAAACTCGGCCTCATGGTGGTCCCTTGTGGTGAGGGGACTCATGACGTGGGCACAACAATATACAAATATATTATCTGGTCGTGACAGTTGCTAAATCTTGTAGGTGTGAGTGGAGGCATCGCCTACAGAAATTCTACTTAGTTTTTTGAAGCAGTAACTAACCTGACGCTGAACTCCCTGAGAAACTGAAAAGAAGACCTGTTCAGTATTAACATAAAGACCTTCCATTCAAACAGCACTGACGTCATCCCCCGAAAGACGACTCAAGAATCATTTCCTGTTCAAATGCTTTTTTTTTTTTTTTAAATTCCTAGCTTTCTGCGGGCTCTGGATTGGCTTTCTGCTCCTGCTGCCTAAGGCTGCTCAAACACACTATTCTTGGTCTTGATACATTTATGATATCGGATGAAACTCCAGATGAAAAAGAGAAAATATTGTGGGAAACATTTTTGTTCTTGGGTGTTCTGAAGAGCCCCATGAAGTTGGTGACAGGAGGAATTAAAGTCAGAGAATCCTTTGGTTGGATTTTCGGTCTTGCTTTTCTTCGGTGCTCTTTCCCTGGAAGTGAGAGGCCACAGGTAAATGGCTCTGAAGTCAAGGGCCCCAACTATAACATGATTACTTATGATTTTCTTTGCCTAACTAAAATGGATACGAGCTTTCTGCAGATACTCCTGAATAAGTGTTCCTTTTCTCTTTTTAAAGACATTTTATTTTGTGTGTACATGCACACGCATGCACGCATGTGTGAATGCATGCTCTGTGTGGGTGCCCACCGAGGCTGGAAGAGCGTGCCCCGTTCCTCAGAACTGGACTTCCAAGTGGCTGCGAGCTGCACATGGATGCTGGGGACCCAACTCAGGTTTCTTCTAGAAAGACAGCATTTGCTCTTAACCACCGGGCCATCCCCTAGGCCCTGCGTGCCTCTGTTTGCTTTCCTGCTCTCTTTCTGAGCTGGTGATGTCATAGATGTTCCTTACAGGACAGTGGACTCTGACGCTGGCCCTTTCTAAGGTTGGCAGATTTCAGCTGCGCGTGAAAGTAATTCGTGTTTATTCCTTGTTGAAGACCTAATAAGGCCTTGGCTAGGGGGCTCGGCTGTTGATTGCATGCAGCGCCGTTGCAGAGACCACACTGTGTCCCCAGCGTACATACAAGGCCATGCACAACCTCCTGTAACCCCATCTCCACTGGCTTGGAGCTCCTTCCCACCAAATAGGTTCTGAGGAACAAACTCGGGTCATTAGGCTTGTGGCCGAGTGCTCTTACCCACTGCTCCGTCCTACCAGAGAACTCTTTGGCATTTGGTAGTAGGGAACACCTTAAATGATTAATGCAGACTTATAAAGGGAAGGTGTCTTCTTGTGTGTGGAATTACAGACCAGATGCTTTCTGGAGGGTTGTCTCCACATTTTTAACTTTAAAAGGTAGGATTGCTGGTTGGTATGTTATCTTGACACAAACCTAGCCACAACTGAAAAAAAAATGCTTCTATAACACGGTTTGTAGGCAAACCTGTGGACCTTTTCTTCCTTTATGATTGATGTGGGAGGGTCCTGCCCATTGTGGCTGGTGCTATAAGTGCTCCTGGGTGTGTAAAAAGGGAAACTTGAGTAAGGCAGAAATCGGCTCTTGTCCGTGCCCTCTGCACCACCAGTTCCTGCCTTGAGTTCCCGCCCCGATTTCCCTGGATGACTGGCTGCAAGATGTAAGGTGAAATAAATCCTTTTCATTCTGAGTTGCCTTTGGTCTGGTGTTTGTTTTAATCAGAGCCAAAGAAAGCCTAAAGCAGAATACAGACTGCTGGGAACAGCGGGCGTTAAAGACAGAAAAGAAAAACTACTACCTTTTTTAAAGACAGGAATTACAGATGGTCCTCCATTCTTTTCCAGGCTAAAAGGAGGAAATATCAAATAATTAAATGAAGACATAGTATATATATACCCAGAAAACCATGAATAAAGAAAGATTCTAGGTACCATGTTCAGGGGCCTAATGGTCTCTGCCATACATGTATAAAATTGCACGCATGCTACCTGCAGATACCTTATCTTTGATCGCTACTCATTTCAAACATTAAATACATCTAAAATGGAATATTAATTACGTTGGAGGTAATGGAAAGAAGAAACTCCAACTGAACTTAGAGGCAGACAAAATTGAATAAGAGCATTTTCCATTTCCCACAGCACTATGGGAATGTACAAAGTAAAAATCATTTGTGCTAAATTAAACTTATGAAAAATTTAATTAATATAACAAATTATAACCAAAGTTCAGATTGTGTTTTATATTAATTTTTGGAATTAATTTTGGATTTCCAGTTTTCAAAGGATTCTTGAAATAGACTTACCTTTTTCTATACTTAAAATTGACTTATATAACCACAGTGTACTTTTGGGTCTCTCTCCCTTGTATCAGAGTAATAATTTATCTTAAGTAGCTCTTACACGAATGTTTTCCTACTTGGAAAGACTCATAATTCAGTTTGTTCACAGTAAGATTTTTTTCTCACACTGGACTGAGCCCCCAAGGTCCAAATGAGGAGCAGAAGGAGGGAGAACATGAACAAGGAAGTCAGGACCGCGAGGGGTGCGTTCACCCTCTGATACAAGGGAACTGATCGAATGAGAGCTCACCAAGGCCAGCTGGACTGGGACTGAACGAGCATGTGATCAAACCGAGTTCTCTGAATGTGGCTGACATGGGGGCTGACTGAGAAGCCATTGACAATGGCGCTGGGTCTTGTTTCGTCTGCATGTACTGGCTTTTTGGGATCCTAGTCTGTTTGGATGCTCACCTTCTTAGAACTGGAGGGAGGGGGGAGGACCTTGAACTTCCCACAGGGCAGGAAACCCTGACTGCTCTTAGGACTGGAGAGGGAGTGGAGGAAGAGGGAGGGTATTGGGAGGAAGGGGGGAAGTGGAAATTTTTTATAAATTAATTAAAAAAAAGATTTTTTCACCCCCTATTTTAAAGACTTGGGTTATAATGAAACTATGACACTGAGATAGAATCAGTTGAGCAAAATGCTTGACAGATGCCAAAACTTCAGCCAGTGAGTGTGTCATGTTAGCCCTGTTTCCTTCCAAGGATTTTGGCTTAGCCTTAGGTCTAGGAAATCCATTGGCAGTGAAGATTGTTTTGGCTTTCCTGATTAGTTCAGATCTCTTCAAATATATCTTTAGGCTAATAAAGAATAGATTCCTGGGGCTGGAGAGATGACTCAGTGGTTAAGAGTAACGCCTGCTCTTCCAAGGGTCCTGAGTTCAATTCCCAGCAAGGACATGGTGGCTCACAACGGTGTATAATGAGATCTGGTGCCCTCTTCTGGCCTTTAGGCACAAATGCAGGCAAAACATTGTGTACATACATTCAGAAATTCTGGGGGTGGTTTTCCTAAAGGAAACTCCTCCTTTTTCCTTTGCGTCCTAGCTTGAAACAGGACCTTCTGGTTTGTGGCACACTTCTCAGAAACAGTTCTAACAAATCGGTCCTTTCCTGGGCCTAGATCTGCTTCCACAGGGAGAATACATCAACCAGCGTCTACACAGCCCCAGCTTGTTTCCAGGCGGGGCAAGTGAACTTGACTGTTTTCCCTGGGTGAAACAATGCAGCTGAAATGAGGAAAGGTCCTCAGTACTTACTTAACACAAACCCTTAAACAAACCTGCTGCTACGGATCCGCATTCCAAAGTAAACAAAAGCAGGCTTTGCCAATGAACGTTCAAGGTTAAGTTGATACCCACAGGGTACCCATGCATGTCAAGAATGCACAAAGGCAGCGCATTTGCATGAACTAAACGGTCACTACTGCCGTTTCTTATTAAGACACGATACCTTAGGGACGGAAGTCCCACGCTTTGCTGCATTTGGAACTCCTTTAGGAAGGCGGGGTTAATCTTGGCATCTCTGCTGATGTTGTTCATTATGCGCAGGAACTGGTTAGGCTTGTTCCTGCATTCGGTCAGCAGGATGCGGAAAGCATACGCATTGTAAGTTAGGTAGCCAAGGGCACAGGAACACGCTGTGCGAACCTGAAATTAGAAGAGGCTTTTCACGTTTTCCTGATGTTTCATTATGATAAAATATAACGGACCTAAAATTTGTTATTTTAACTATTTAAAATCATGCAATTCACCAGAGGTAAATATATTCATATACATTTTCTGAACATTGTTTTGGGTTCAAGTCTCAGCATTCACTTTGAATTTTTAATCAATATATGGGTTGAGTGTGTCCTGTAGGTAGCATATGTAGAATTTCTCTATTTCATAATAGGTTTATCACAGTTTTATGAGAAGAAACTTCTTAAGCAATGGGCTGGTAGGGGAAGTCCTTCTGTATATGTGTTGCTTTTATTGGTTAATGAATAAAGCTGCTTTTGGCCAATGGCTTGGCAGACTATAGCCCGGCTGGAAAAGATATATATAGAGAGAAGGAGGAGTCAGGAGAAGCCATGTAGCCACCCATAGGAGTCAGACACACCGGAACCTTGCCGGTAAGCCACAGCCACGTGGTGATACACAGATGAATAGAAATGGGTTAGTTCAGGATATAAGAGCTAACTAGAAATGCGCTTAAGCTACTGGCCAAACGGTATGGCAAATAATATGGTTTCTGAGTTAGTATTTCGAGGCAGAGCGGTTGGGAAACAAACTAGCAGCCTCCCCCAAGAATGGGCCCTGAAGGCTCAGGGATACTTGCAGCAGAAGTGACTACAGGGGCAGTGCCTTCTGCACACAGCAGGGCGGCTCTAGGCGGAAACACACAGTAGTTTCAGTAGCTAGCATGCACAAAGCCTGTGCACGCATGGAGACCGAATCCCAGCGTGGAGAGGGGAGTCGAGTACACAGTCCCACCCATGGCCATGGAGCTATTGGCAATTGTGCGTTGCTGGGATAAGGAGAGGGTTTTTTCTCTAAGAGTTTAGTAGCCCCTGGTCAGTCAGCTACACTCCAGTGGAAGACCACACATTCAGGATATCTGAGCAGCACCAACTGGTCTTGCTGGGCTTTTAAAAAGGACTCAAAGTTGTATGGGGAGGGACCTGGGTATGGGGAGGGGAAAAGCGGGAGAGGTGAAGAGGTGAATACAACGAAACACTTGGTATGGTATTCTCAAGAAAACTAACCAAGATTATCTAGCTCAGACTCTAACTAGCTGCTTCTTCAGAAAGGTCCACTGGACCTGAGTTTGGGTCCCAGGACAACCCCAGGCAGCCACCTGGAACTCCAAGTCCAGGGAACCCACCACTCTCTTCTGGCCTCCACGGGCACTTGAATTCCCATGCACGAAC